ATTGTCATTATTATTGTCAATATCATTATCGTTATTGTTACTATTACTATCACATCATTATTATTATCATTGCTATTACTATTATTGTTATCATCACCATCAGTATTATTATCATTACTTTTGTAGGTGTTATCATTATTATTATTTTTCATATCATTTTATCAGCAGCATTGTTATGCTATTATTATTATTATTATGATACTACTATTATCAGTATTATAACTATGATTTAAACTATTTTTACAATAGTTCTTGCTATCATTATCATTATAATCATTATTATTGTTATTGTTATCAGACCATCATTATCATTTCATTATTATTATCATTACTGTCCGAAAAAAACACAATGCACAAACTAGATTTATTGAAATAAATTCAACGTTCTGCTGACCACTTCTCCATTTGTAGGAAACCCATCCACACACTTCTCGTGGCATCCACTCTGTGTGAAGAGGTGTTGCCGCCTCGCCTCTGTGAGCCCCAGGGCCTGGATGGGCAGAGCGATTTCCTACGTCGTTACTTCTCCTAACTGGGTTGCCCTCTCCATGCTCTCGACGTCGCGTTATCCATTGCGCGGCGTACCTTCTACAACGACTCCTCTCCTAAAGAGTCCACTCACCTGACAATCCTCAGCCTGCCCTGCACTGAGCAGACCTATTCTCCCCTGCAGCCTCTCAATTGCGGACTCACCTCTCGCCAGGTGAACGCTCTACCTCACAACCTGGTCCACACCTGCCCTCCCTCTACCTTGAAGGTGGGCACGTGTTCTTCCTTGTGCCACCTGTAAAAAACTACTTAGGCGAGACAGGTGCCAGTCTCACGAACGTGTCTCAACATAAATACGCTTTATCCAGGGGGGCACAACAACAGCGCCTTTTCTGCCATCATTGGGGCACAGGCCATCAGATGGACTGGGAAGCAGAGCACATTGTCGTCCTCCCGCTAATGTCCATGCCCGCAGACTGGTGGAAGCTTCCTTAATCAAGTGCTGTCTCATTTAAACGAACTTTTATCCTTCTCGCTTCCCATATCTTCCGCCTTCTCACTCCTACCGGCCGCCCTTCGCAAAGACAGCCGGATCCTTCGACCTGACCGGATTTCCTTTCATTCTCCGGTCCTCACCTGCCCCTGTCCCCGCGGCGCTTCTCCTTTCTCTCTCTAATACTACTTCCTTTCCCCTTCCCTTTTCTTCTTCGCAAATCTAACTGAATTGAACTGAAGCCTTCCCCTTCACACCTGGAGATGGAGCCGAGGATGATTCCGAAACTGTTCTCATTTAAATAAATCTAGATTGTGCATTATGGGTTTTCTACCATGTATATATATATATATATATATATATATATATATATATATATATATATATATATATATATATGTGTGTGTGTGTGTGTGTGTGTGTGTGTGTGTGTGTGTGTGTGTGTGTGTGTGTGTGTGTGTGTGTGTGTGTGTGTGTGTGTGTTATATCTACACATATATTTATATATGTATAGATATATATATAGATATTTTTTCAGTAAATCTAATCTATGCATTATGTGTTTTTTCTACCATTGTATCAACACGTCATAGTGTTTTGCCGTTAATCATTGTTGCTATGATTATAAATGTTATTATTTAATTCTATCATCATTATTATCATCATCATTTCATTATCTCACCATCAAACATCATCAAGTACATTATCGTTTTATCATCATTATTATAAGCTTTAACATTTCTACTACTATTTTTATAATTGACTTCTTATTTCACCTGGACGTTGTTATTATCATTATCATCAACATAATTAGTATTCCTGTAATCATCATTATCATTATAGCGATGGTGGTGAACAGTGTCTGTCGCAGCAAATGCAGAAAGGTTTGGATGGGAAAGAACATCGCAGTGCGAGGGAAGGAGTTGACTTCGATTAGATCTTGCTTAGAAAGTCGAGTGAAGTGTTCATTCTCATGTTCCCTCATGCCTTTTCTACAGTGATGATTAATATCATAATGAAATGAGAAACGATATATGATACTGTATCAGTGTACCAAAGCTGCTACCGATTCAGCTTCCACTTTCTTCCGCATGTCCGTAATTATCATAATCGCAATATCAACATTTTCATCGAGATAACCCTTGCTTCGGACTCTCTCCCTTCCTCTCCCGCTTCTCTCGCTCAGCGAGACAACTACCGCGCCGCCAAGGGCTGTTGCTTCGTGCGCGTGCGCGCGACGGATCACGACGAAATTGGCACCGATGGGCATCGAGATGTCTTCTTTAGGCGGCTACGAGGTCGCCGGCAGTCGTGCTGTGGACGGTGGCACAGGCCTTCTACGAGAGAGCTTACACTGACTCCTGCTGTTCTGTCCGCTCGAGGGATGGCCCTGCGGGCAGAACATGAATTTACGATACAACATGCCATCTATTGCCTGCTATGGATATTTTTTGCAAGGGTTATATGTTCCTTTCCATTCCTGGTTCCATCGCCGATGCTGAAGGGAGTCGCGTCCAACGCGTAAATCGGCTGCACGGCTCATTTATTCTCCCTCGTAAACCCCAGCATCCATCATTCCCCCCCTGCTATCGGGGCCAAGTTTGAAGGGCATGGGGAACCTTCTGCGACAAAAATCCCACATCTATGAATAGCAGAGGTGCGAGGGCTCCATCGGTTCAAAGCAGAAGCAGGCACCTGCGGCATTTACTTGGTTGCAAGAGCACTAGTGTATGTTCTAGCAAGAGCCCCACTGGGGGGGCTACGCCGATGTTTGTAAAATTTGTTTCCTTTATATATTATGGGTTCAATTAGTCGACTGATATGACAGTAAAATGTAAAATGACCAATAGTTTACTAGTGGTCAGAAGAACGAAATTTTTCTAGTTTCTGAAGAGCAGTCTATGATTGTTTTTCTTCATTAAATAAAATTCACTGCTGTATCATTTACATAAAAGGCTAACTCCTTTACCTGACACAGGGAGGCTGATAGAATATCTCAACGACCCCGTGCCCCTCGTCGGTCCCATGCCTCTCGACGTCTCACGGCGCCCCCACGCCGGCTCACTAACTGACGAAGCCAAAACGTCAAAAATGCAAAGTTGGTCAGATAGAATCAAGGAAACGCCTAAACCTAAGGGGTGCAGAGGAGGGGGGGGGGGGGGTGCTGGTTCTTCTGAAGGGTTTGTCCTCTTCTCTTCTTTTCCTTGAGGGAAACCTATAGGAAAGAAATGGTCGCCGGAACTTTCGTGGAATGTGGACTACTTTCTTTTACGAGAACCAGGTCTTCAGGGCTGAGAAGCGAGGAGATATTCTAGATCCGCTGTTCTACGTTAGACAAATATGGCGGAAGCACTTCTTTATAAAGATGAATAACCGAAAAACAGCTGCCATTATTTTCTGACGAAAATGAGACATTTTCCTTTCAGCACTATACCATTGACTGTCGCTATATGTAATAAAGTTGATAATAAATATCACGATGATAAGATTCCCTCCCATATTCCTTGGAAAAAGCGTTGCCATCGCCGTGGGAACTCCGGGACCAATGCCGCCTCCCTTTCGCAATACGGTTGTGAACGTTTCGTTGAACGTTGAATGTCCTGTGGCATAAACTCGGGCACATTGCCACGAAATGTGGAAGGTGTTGTTTCGCCAGCTAATTAAGTTACCAAATGTCACTTTCATAACGGCTAATAGGCTATGAACCTCCTCACTGTTTTACTAGCATTCAGTTACATAGGGTGAATAAATGAATAAGTAAACTATGTTTATGCATGCACTTATAAATGTTATAATTATTGTACAATCCAAAAGCTCAATAAAGAGAGGTCACTTGCCTTAAACCGTTGTCTAATGATGATTAACAAAGTAGGATTAGGAGTAATAACGAATTACACGCATAAATCACGCTCAGAAATGAATGTAAATTCAATATATCTTATTAGCTATTAGCAATAGGTGCCGTCGCTGTCGGCAGACCTATCCATCAACTTTTCTATCGAGTGCGGGTTTATGGCTATGAACCGGTGCTTTGTTGATTCGAACCACTTTGCAATGTTTCATGCGATGCAATGTTTCGTCATCAACGAAAGCCATCAGGAAGAACCATCACTCCAGAGGCTGCATGGACGCTGGCAAACCAGAGTTCAAATAACGAAATATTGAACAAGCTCCGGGATAACGATCACGCTGATAAGGTCGATTTGTGTAACATATTTTTAGATGGGAATACATTCTTAACAGATGACATAGGTTTCGTGGGTGCAGCGCAGCTATTTATTAATGTTTGGCTCGATTAATAGCCGGTGATATAATGGCAACTGGCAACTTGTCTATGATAGCACAATCAGTAGTTTTACCAAACAGGGCGTAAGAATAAGCAATTTTATTGTTTTAAAATATTGTGGTTAACTAATTATATTGGTGTTCGAAATCTTATGTCTACTGGATAGAAAATTTATTTGTAAAAGATTCTATAAACTCATCTCATTAGTATTGCTGTTTTTTGTGACTTGCAATTAATAATTGGTTGTAATTGCATGACAAATACCTTAACTATGCTGTCACTGATTATACTTCACGAACTGCGTGACATAGAATATGTTAAGCTTAGACAATTTTTATGATCTTGTGACGTCATTCAGTCGCCGAGAAAAAGACAATACGAGTGATAAGAAATATAAAAATATCTAAAAGAATATTCATGGATGAAAATGTATATGCTCTATTAGGCAGACTGATGTACGTACGACCTAAAATTGATATGCATGCTGCACTACAATGTTAAACATCAAGGAAAAACGATAAGTAGACTACGTTCATTATTTGCTTTATGTTGAAGAAGAAAAGAAAAAAAATGCTATTTCAGGGTAAGACTCGTCGGACTCACTGATATAGAAACACGGTATAATGAATATAAAAGGAAAGACCTTGCTTGATCCTGCGATTCACACACAAGTTACCGAGAACCGCGAAACAAAGCCTGAGGCTCCTGTGAATCGGCTCGGAAGCCAGCTCC